TGTGGGGGAGGCTGGGGTGGAGACGGCGGCCGTGGTGGCGGCCAGGGTGGAGGAGAGGGCGGTGGTGAGGGCGGCGGTGGCGACGGCGGCGGCGGCGACGGAGGCGGAGGCGAGGGCGGCGGCGGCGATGGTGGCGGCGGCGAGGGTGGCGGCGGCGACGGCGGCGGCGGCGACGGCGGCGGCGGCGACGGCGGCGGCGGCGAGGGTGGCGGCGGCGAGGGTGGCGGCGGCGAGGGTGGCGGCGGCGAGGGCGGCGGCGGTGATGGGGGCGGCGAGAGCGGCGGCGGTAATGAAGGTGGTGGCGAGGGAGGAGGAGGTGAAGGTGGCCGAGGAGTCGGCGGCGGAGAAGGGGGCGGCGGCATGGGAGGAGGAGGAGAGGGTGGCGGTGGCGAGGGCGGTGGCGATGGCGGCGATGGCGATGGCGCCAGCGGTGGCGAGGGCGGCGGGTTTGGTGGACCGATGAACCAGAACGTGAAAATGTCAAAGGGCGGCGGCGGCGATGGCGGCGCTGGCGGCGATGGCGATGGCGATGGCGGTGGCAGAGGAGGCGGCGGCGACGAGGGTGGTGGCCACGGTGGCAGAGAGGATGAAGAGAGTGGGAGGGGCGGCGGGGGGTGTGACATTTTACATTAAATATTTGGTCGAAACCCCCCCCCACCCATACCCCCCCAAAACGAAAAAACGTGTTAAGCAGGCGCCGTCCAAAGCATTTTCTTTGTTTGCTGAGAGAGGCTTGTTTTAAGAATTCTTTCTTTGCTGGTTATGCTGTGTGTGTGAGTGTGTTGAGAGAGATACTTCTTGTGTGTTGTGTCGCCCTCGCCGACGAGTGCCCGGATGGGGGGGAGGGTGGCGTGCAGTGGTGGCCCGCGTCGGCCGGCCGCGTGGCGCTGCTTCTGCTTCTGCTACCTGTCCTCTGCTTCCTCTCCAGCGTTGCCGGGTTGATGCTGCACGTAGCGCTCAAGTGGGCCATAGTCGGCCGGTATTCCGAAGGGGACTACCCCTTCTTCGGCGAGTACCACGTGAAGTGGATGGTGATGATGCTGCTCGCCGGCGCGGCGGAGGACGTGATCGACTCGCTCGGCGGCACCGCTTGGATGGCGATCTACTACCGCTTGATGGGGGCGAGGGTCGGCAAGGATTGTTGCCTGTTTGGACTGGCTTTGGAGTATGACCTCCTCACCCTCGGCGACCGCGTGGCCGTGGGCTGGGAATGCGACACTACATGCCACACGGTCGGCCCAAATGGTCATCATGGTCTCGCCCATCTTGGAGACTCACGGGGAGGCTGCTTCCGTAGGTCGAGAACATGGTCATCAAGCTCGCCCCGACCGTGCTCGAAGAGGGCGCCGCTGTCTGTCCCCACTCAATGCTCATGCCGGGCTGCGTTCTCGGCCGCGGAGCCATGCTTCTCGACAACTCGCAGGTGCTCAAAGGGGAGGCTGTGCCGCCGGGGGAGCGGTGGGCGGGGCTTCCGGCCATGCGCTGCCCTTCTGCACCGTTGCCACCGGAGGTGACAAGGCAGCTGACTGCGGTGAGCGAGCAGGGGGCGGCGGGGGCGGCGGGCGGTGGCTGGGGAGCTTTCGGCCGGGCGAAGGGGGGCGAGGAGGATGTTGAGGATGAGGAGGTAGGCGAAGAGGCCGGTGAAGAGGCAGACGAGGAGGTGCGGGAGAAGCTGGGCGACCAGGAGGGAGGAGGAGAGGAAGGGGCTAGACACGGAGGCGAGGCGGGCGAAAGGCAGGAGGGCGGTCAGTCATCCGCCGCACTCTTGGTTGGCGTGAGAGCCTTTGAAGACGGCAGCGTGGTTGAGTTCGTGGACTTGGGAAGACGCTTCCTCGTCGCCAGGCACCATCCACGCGCACCGGGCCTCGCACTTAGGGTGGGCGCGGGGCCACAGCCCAGGACGTGGACGTTTGCCAGGGGCAGCCAAGGCACCTCCACCACTATACGCACACCTCATTTGACGCTCTCACCTTCAGGCGGCCCGACGGCTGTGTGCGATTGCGGCCGGTAGAGAGGCCGCAGGGGCGGGGCGGGCACCTGCGGCTGCAGTGGGCGCTGGCGCCGGGAGGCTCCCGGCTACTCACGGTCGACACGCTCGGCGGCAGCGGCCGGTGGGCGCAGTTTCAGGTGTCTGCCGCGGCAGGGTCGGCTGGGCGGGCTGTCCAGCTCCGCGGGGTGGGCACCGGCGCGTATCTGTCGGTGAGGGCTGGCGCGCTCGTGGGCACGCACGACTCCGGTGACGCAGCGATCTCGATCCTCACGCGGAGGGCGGCGCGCTCGCGGACGAATAATCGTCGCGAGGAGCGCGTGGAGCAGGCGTTGCGCGCGCGCGAGTACCTCGAGCATCGAAGGCTCGCGGCCGCCGCCCACATCATGGAGAGGCGGGCAGCCGGGGGGCGGAGGAAGCCGTAGCTGCGGCCGCGCAAAAGGAGACTGGGCTGAAATCTATGTAATCGCGAAAGTGTTCTTCATGTGCCCAGCAAACGCTTGAGCGGCCTGTGTGCACCCACCCCACAGGCTCAGCCTGCCCCCCACAGTCGCAGTGCGTGCCCCAGTCCGCACCCTCCGACCCACGCACGCCATGCATGGACCATGGTTCCAGCTCTCTGCTGATCTGCTCCCAACACCGCATCGCACATGCACATGATTCTAGATGTTCGCGAGCGTCTCATCGCTGCGTCGGTTCCCCGCAGAGGACTTGCAGGTCGCGTCTTGCAGGTGAAGGGGGGTTTGAATCCGCAGGGGCCGCCGCGCAGCCGCGAGACCAAGTGCCATTGTTCTGTGCCTCACACACTCTCCCGCCTGCCGCGCCGCTGGTTGTGGTCCGCGAGCCTGCGCATCTCAGCAGACGGAGGCGGGAGGTTGAAGTCGGCGAGCCTGCGCATTTCCAAGGAAGCGCTGCGGCGTCGCTGCTGTGGCTTCGCAGGGTTCGGCTGATGAGCTGCTGTGGCGCTCCCGCACGCAGCATGGTGCTCCTCTGCCAGCCCGCGCAGCGACTGGGACGGAACTCCTCCTCCGCGTGCTCTGGCAAAGAGGCAGGAGAGGGAAGGCGCCGGGTGGGGCGGCTCCCAGCTGCCGCTCGACCGTGGGTGATCCCCACTTCCGGCTCCAAGGGCCGTTGGCGGGGCTGGGTTTGCAGAGTCGACCTTGCAGCGATGCACTGTCCCGGCATCGGCGACGGAGACCTCGGTATCACTTTCCGAAGAGAGACGTTGGCGCGCGACCGAGCTGAGGAGCGCCGAATCGTCGGTCGGATTTGTGGGCGGGCGTGAGCTGAGGAGCGACAGCGGGGGCGCGCGACGCGCTTGCGGCGGCGTGCAGAGCGAGTCGAGCGACGGCGAGAGAGCCGTCGGCGAGTCGAGCGACGGCGAGAGAGCCGACGGCGGAGCCATCGGCGAGGCCGTCGAGTCGAGCGACGGCGAGAGAGTCGACAGCGGAGCCACTTGCGAGGCCGCCGATTCGAGCGCCGGAGATTGAGTCGACATCAAAAACCTGCACAGAGACGAGAGGCGCCGCGTTGACCTGGAAAAAGAATTTTATGTATTGCTCCAAATTTGACCAAACTCCCTCGCACAACACTGGGCACGGGACTGGCGCGCACTGGCACCTAACGGCCGACTGCACGCTAATGGCTACACGCTCGCACACCACTTGCTGAGTGGCTCTCCCAGGCGCTCAGCCCATGGCGGAGGCACGCCAGGCCCCGGGGAGTCGGCCGTCACTCGCCTAAGCGCCTAAGCGGCCTAAGCGGGGGGGTGCTTAGGGTGCTTAGGCGCTTAGGCGGCCCTTGCGAGCGTGGCGGCGTGGTGATATCGTAATACAGGTGACTCCGAGGACACTCATGATGCTCCTGCTAGTGTCATCGCTCAGAGAGCAGCCTGTCCACTGTCTACCACTGGCCCTGCCCCTGGTCGGCGCACACTGCCGCTGAGCAGCGCTGGTGCGGCTACTCAGCATCAGCCTCGTCACACGCCTCCGCCAGCGCCGTGAATTCCTTATCCAGTTCTAATACTCTTGTATCGCTGCCTTGACCGTGTCCGCACCTGAATGGTCCAGCAAGTCGCCGTGAAAAAACCAGGCGACAGAATGGAAGCCACGGTCGTCGGGACCTGCCGAACCAGAGACGAGGTACTCCAAGCGGTCGTCGTCTTCATCGACAGGGTTCCTCAGCGCCACCGCAGTCATCTGGCTCGGATCGCAGTAACGCACGCCGAGCACCTCTTCAATTTCCAGCAAGTCTGCGTCCATGGACCCGGCAACCTTGTCGCTGGCGAGTGGTGGCAGATGACCGACATCCCACAGCACCAGCAGCAAAGGCGGGCGGGCCGACCCCGCGGCCATCGCCGCCGCTGCCGCCTCCCCCTCCGGCGAAACCTTTTCCTTCGAAGCTCAGCGACGTAGCCGGGCGAGCGGAGTAGGGCAGTCCTAGAGAGCACCTTGAGGCCATTCAATAGAGCCCGTACTATAGTCGAGAGTCGCTCGCCGGCCGGCGCAGTGCTGCTCTGACCGCTCCGCCGGGCCCCCTCCGGGCCGCCGCCGCGGAGACGTGCACACAGGCAAGTTGGTATTTTCATGTATGAACTTCAAAATAGTACTGGCTAGTCTAATTCTACTCATCACAACTCGCCAGGAACCAACACCCCCACACTATAGGCTCATTGTGTAGCCCTGCTTAGAAGGAAAAGGTTTTGTGCAAGGTCCGTATGGCTCACCGTGTAGTCGGCCTAACCCAGGTACTCAGATTGCTGCTCCCAAGGACGGAGCAACTTGCTGCTGTGCGCCTTTTATTGGGCCCGAGGGAGATGCGGCACAAAAATATCGAACGGAAAGGCCCAGGAGCAACAATGGAGACGGTTTTGAAACTACGGGGATCGGCTTCTTACCACAGCCTTTCCTTGCAGCGAGCCCCCTCCAACCCACCCGCGCTACTTTACGAGATGTCGCTTGTCGCGCGGGGGAGCGGGGACGCAGGTGGGTCACACCCGACGTGCGACGACCTCGGGAACGAGCCGGGGCAGTGTGGGCCAGGGCGGCAGTCGGAGAGAAGGGGCAACTCAGTGCTCTCACGGTCGGTCGTCAGAAAACACGCCTGCGTGGATCGCGTCACACACACACACACGTACACAACACACACACACACACACACACACACACACACACACACACACACACACACACACACACACACACACACACACACACACACACACACACGCAGTCCACGGCGACAGAGGGCGGTGGGGAGGACTTTTCATTTACGGATGAAGGGCAGGCGAGATGATTTGGCACTTGTGGACGCAGCAGCGTGCCGCACAACCGAGTGTAGCGTTTGAAAAGCCGAGCCCGTCCGTTTATACGCACACACACACACACACGACACACACATGAGGCGCCACTTCTCTCTCTCACACACACCCCACTCTCCTCCCCCACTCTCACGTGAGTGAGTGAGTGAGTGAGTATTCTTGATACGAAACCACGACGACACACACCAGTCGACTCGCATCGGTTGCCTCCATGAACGGCGGAGCTATTCTCGCGCCCACACCACACACACACACACACCACGTCAAACGCCAAAATCTCCCCCCAAAACGAAAAATTCTGCACTCCGTGAGACCTCGAGAGAGTAGTGCTGCAGGCGCCCTTTTTGATTGAAAATTCGTTGATATACATCCACACTCAAGGCATGCCACACACTTTCCTCGTCCGCTCGCGCTTGCCGCGCCGCATTGCGCCCGACTTTGCCACCGCGAGCTGCACGTCTAGACCCCCGCGACGCCTATTGCTCACGGAACCCGCCGCCCCCTCACCTCCCCCACCACGCGATGCGACCTCGCTCGTCGCGGCTGTTCCCCCCTGGACCTCGCACCGCCTGCCTACTCCCGCTCGCAGGTACAGCCGCTGCCATCGAGGAAGCCGCGAGACGCGTCCGCTGCTGCCCATTCCCCACCCTTGTCCCGCGCGACCGCCCTCCCTCTCTTCTGGCAAGAGAGCGACCCGCTCTCGCTTGCTCGCCAATCGCCGCCCGGCTCCAGTCCGAGCGCCGAGGACGCGAGAGAGCGTGCCGGCGGCCCCACCTTCAACCGCTTCTTGCCTCTCTGCAGGAGTTCATTCGATCAACATGCTCAAACTCGAGTTCGTGCCGGCCGCCGGTGACAAGCTCGTGCTCAAGCTCTCTCCTGCTCCGCCGCCGCTCGCTGACAAGCAGGTGTGTGCGTTAATTTGCAGTGGCTGAGGGCGGGGGTATATGCACAGTCACGCGCACCGCTGCAACGCACGCAACGCTGCGCCTTCCCTGCAAGACTAGCCTCTCGCGTTCTGTGGCTGACAGGCGTCTCTGGCAGACAACACGACCGTCATCGACTCCGGCGAAGGCAACGCCATCGGCATCCCCTCCGAGCCCGTCTCGCTCAAGGATGTCATCGACACCGGCACCGGCGGCACCGGCACCGCCAGCACCGGCACCGTCGACATCCCGCCCGAGGGCGAGCCCGGCCCGCTCAAGGACGGCATTGACGCGGGCGGCGGCAACGTCGAGGGCGAGCTTTCGCCGATGACGTCCTCCGCGAAGGTCGGAATCGTGCCGGCTGACGACGGCCGCATCACGCTCGTCATCTCCGCGTCGGTGTCGCCTTCGCTCCTCGGAGCCAAGGTGCGCGTGCGCACGCCAGGATTTTGATCATCCCTCTCCCGTCTCCGAAAGCCTGCGCGTACTCTCCCTCGCCCACAGGCGTGCGGCGTCAAGAACGTCAACATCTCCGTGGCAAAGTCTGGCCCGGAGGGCGTCCTCAAGAAGGACCCGGCCGCGGAAAAGGCGCCCGACGCGGGCGCGGTCGACTCGGACAAGGCCAAGGCCATGTTCGCCACCCAAGCGCCGAGCTCGCCCGCCGTTTTCTGGTCCAAGTTTACGCGCCCGACCGGCCCATTGACGGCCCCCACCGGCGCCGTCAAGGGCGCCCTCAACAAGGACATCCCTGCGGCAGAGTCTGGCGCGGAGGCCTCCGTTGACGAGACCGGCGCCATCAAGAACCCGGCGCTCAAACCGGTCACCAAGGTCGCCACGGCCCGCAAGCCGGCGGCGGTTTGCGGCGAGACGCTGCCGTCGACCAAGGAGCTTCCGGAAGAGGAGCCCGCCACCCCGGCGGCGAGCGCCTGGCATTCTGCGCGCCGGCGTCTGCCGGCCCACTCTGTGACCCCATCCCGCGTTCGACGCGTAGGGCGACGCCGACTGGAACGTCTCGACCAAGGAGTTTCCAGTGGAGACGGCCGCCCCGGCGGTGAGCACACCTCCCAGCACCCTTCTCTGCACACGCGGATATTGCGGAGACACGCGACTCCTACAGGCGGGCACTTATATTGACCATGTGACCTCTCGTCCGCCGCACGTCACGCGCGCGCAGGGCATCGACGAGTGGAAGTCCCCCTCCCCGCTCCGCAAGATCGAGCGCAAGGGCGAGCCCAACCTGGTCGACCGCTCCAAGAAGACCACCAAGAACCTCACCCCGATCGGCCGCGTCGACCCCAACGGGTTCGCGGCGCTGCTCGGAACGGATGTCGACGAGAAAGACCTCGCTGACGTCGGCTCCGGCAACGCGTTCGACGACGAGGAAGACCTCGCTGGCGTCGGCTCCGGCAAGGCGTCTGTCGGCGACGCCCCGCCGACGTCGGCGACGCCTTCGGCGCGTACTGCCTTGCCCGAGCAGCGCGCTCTGCTCGTGACTAACCCTCGTCCGCACTGTTCACAGGGCGCCGTGCAGGAGACGGAGCCGACCTCGACGCGCTCCGGCTTCCGCTTCGGCAAGTTCTGCTCGACCAAGCTACTGTGCATCTTCTTCTTCGTGGTGATCGGTCTGGGCTGCTCGGCTTTGTACGGCTCTGGCGGCGTCTCCGAGCTCCTCGACGCGGTGTCCGTGCCCGACGCGGTCGCGATCCCGGTGAGCAATAGAACTGGAGCGCAATGGCTCCCAGCACGCCCTGACTCTCCGTCGCGTGCTGCGCTCGTATATCTCGTAGGTTCTCGACCTCTCCAACACCACGCCAAAGAACGAGTTCAGCCCGACGGGCCTCTCCTCGTCGACAAATGAATCGTCGCCACCCGCCTCCATTCCCGTCCGGGTGAATGCTCGCGAGAACCTGTTTGCTTCAATCCCCGACGATGACCAGTCCCACCTCGACCTTGCCAACACTCCCTGGCCGACCGTGCACGGCGCTCGCCAGAACCCGGGTTCGCTTAAGGGCGCAGTGCGGGTGGACGAAGCGGCAGACATGGTCGTCAGCCGAATGACTTGGACTCCTGGTGACAACCTGACTGAGACCATCCAGCAGATCTATGCCCGAGCAAACTCCGTGAGCGTCGTCAAGGACCAGGAAGGCGTCTGGTGGACCTCCGGCTTTGGTACTGTCTACGCTCTTCGAAAGCAGCCCGGCGGTGAAGCGTTCGAGGTCCTTCAAGAATTCGACCGGCAGGAGACAACCACGTTCCATGGCTCCTACGCCTTCGTCGACAACCGCGGCTTCTTTTATGCGGCATTTCAGTCCACGATCGAGCGATTTCATCTCCGCCACAGCGACGAGGGCGGCGACTGCAAGAGCCGACTCGCCGGAAGACCGATTTGCCGGGAGCAGAGTGCCGACCTCGCCACAGATCCTGCCGTCAACTGGATCAGCAACACCGGCTCAGGCGAGGACGACAAGTTTGTGGCGTACAACCTCTCACCGGAAGGTTACATGGTGCTATGCACCTATCACGGCAATGTCTTTGTGTCCAGCGAACCGAATCATGTTCCCTATCCGGACTTCGGCAACATCACGTGGCGCCAGCTGGACCTTCGAGACTATTTGAGGAGTAAATCGCAAATTTACCGTGCTTTCGTGCAGTCTTCCGGTGACAGCAGCTCGCACGTGTCAAATTCCATCGGCATGGGAGAGAAGACCTCAGCACACTTTGCCCTCGTCCCCACCGCTTGGGGCATTGTCAGTGTGAATGTGGACAAAGAACACCCCGCACCGGTTGACTTCTTTCCGATTGACCCGTACGATGCTTCAGACACGTTCAATGGCGAGTTCCTAACCCGCCTTGGCCCACTCGGAACCGGCTCAAGCCCAACGTCCTTTGTGCTGAACGGCCGCAGCTACCTCACCGTGACGGACGGAAAGTTGGAGCCAATGAGCTTGCACGTGGTCGAAACCCAGCGTGGAGAGTTCCAGACGTCGCCTGCCTCCATTGGTGTGTCGTTCGGCGACTCGCAATTCTCCACCAGCGAGCAGTCTGCAAGTGCGCTCGTCAAAGATGACGAGGCGCACATCGTCGTTGTCAACAACTACGCCGGGATCAATTCCTTTGATCTCGACGACCCGAACCTCTGGTCTGTGCATGATGCGGACGGTCGCGGCCACCTTCTCCAGCTTTGCAAATTGATCATCAATGATGGCTCGAAGGAAAAGTGGGAGAGCCTCGATTCCATCGACGACAGGCTCGAAGTCAACAAGAAGACCATGCCCCTCTTCTGTGGGGCGTGCAGTGGAGGCGTCAACCTCTATGCGTTCGATGGCGAAGTTATTCATCCCAAGTGGTCCAACGTGGACGTTTGCACGCTCACAGGCATCCCCTTACAGACCGAGGATCACGTGTGGGCCGTGGGCACGGAGAGGCTAAAGCTCGACAATGGCGATGACATCGTCGGTGATATAAGTCTGTTTGCCTTAGACCGGGCGACAGGTAAGGTCAGCATTCGGGCTCCGCTCCCTGGTACGATCATCACCCCCGACCAGATAGAAAACTTTGTCAACCGAACGAAACAAAGCGAAATACTCGGCCCAATCGTTCAATTCCTTCTCGAAGCAGCAAATCGTGACGAATATGGTTTGCTGGGAGGCTGGCTGAAGAACACCCTGAACAACATTTTTTATGCGGGGGTGGAGACGGACGGCGACTCATTGGTATTCGGCAGTGCCGGGGGCAGTGTGATGCGTGGAGTCAACCGTTCCCAGCCATCGGGTTACTGTCAGCCGGACGACGCGTGCTGGCCCAACGCCGCCAAATGGAACGATCTCAACGCTACGGTCGGCGGTCGTCTGTTCGCCATCGGGGAAGTTGAAGATGTTATGTGCAAGTGCGCCGAATCTCACGTCACGTTGTCGGCCAACCCATTCCCAACTTTCGACGGCACGCGGGAAGCCACGCTGGCAAACGGGGCTTGCATGCAATTCCAGGACTGCTTTTACGAGTACTGTGAGGCCAGCTCGAGGCCGAAGACTCTCCCCGAATACTCGCTGGAGGCCCACTCCGAATTCGACGTGCGAATGGTCCTCGAGTTCGCCACGGAGCACAGCATTCCGGTCAGCGTCAAGTCCTCCGGCCACAGCTACACGGCTGCAAGTTCCACGAGCGGGTCGATCCTCATCTGGATGCGCAACTTCAAAACGTACTCGCCGAATGAATTTGGCCCTCTAACCGACTCATGCGGCACACGCCACGCCGACACAATAAAACTGGGCGGGGGACAGCCATGGGGCGAGGTGTACAAAGCTGTGCTCAACACCGGCGCCTACGATGTGCTCGGAGGATCTTCTGTCAACGTGGCGTGCTGTGGCGGCTGGCTGGCCGGTGGTGGGCTGACGACGATGAGCCGCTTCCGCGGGCTCGGGGTAGACAACGTGCTACGCTACGAGGTCGTGCTCGCAAACGGCTCGCTCGTCGTGGCGGACGAGTGCTCCAACAACGACCTGTTCTGGGCCTTACGCGGCGGCGGCGGCGGCTCGTTTGGTGTGGTGACGACGCTCTGGTATCGCCTTTATCCTAAGACCAAAGTACAAGTCCTGAAGATGAAGGTCAAGCCACTTATCGATCGATCGAAGGTCAACCCGATCGATTGGGAGATTTTTGCACACTACGGAAGCTTCGTTCTCGACTACGTGATTCCCATGACAGTTCGGGTGTTGCAACCTGCAAGCCTCCCTTCCGAGTGGGGCGGCTATTACTCGCCCATGTGTAATAGCTACACGATCAACGACGTCGAACTCGGCACTTGCATGGAGCTCTTCTACTATGGCGACGGCGACGACGCGCAGCGCCTCTTAGAAGACCTCACTTCCTGGAGCATGTCAACGGTGCCCGAGGGAACGCGCAGCTTGTTTGGCCTCAATATCTCGCTGGTTGCACATGACAGCTACCTCGACTTTATCAACGACGTCAGCAACAAGCCAGGAGGGGCTTGCAACCCAACCGACTCGACGGATGAGCTTCCACATGGTTGCGAGCTCTTTGGCATGGTCTCCGACTACGTGGGCTTCCGTTCGACAAGCAACAAAGGCAGCGCCGGCAGCGCCACACCCTCCTCCTGGCTCCTGCCGAAAACGTTTTGGGAGGACAAAGACGCTGCCGTCGAGACGCTCCAGGATGCCGCCGGAAGATGCAACCCGCCGACAACGGGATACCTACTCGGCGGTGCCATCTCGGACGTCCCGGAGGACAGCACTTCCGTTCCGACGGCCTTGCGCCGCGCAGCCACCAACATCATGGGAGCAGCGCCTGAGCCAACGTTCGTGAGTGACGGGATGCGGTTCATCCGTGAAATCGTGGACGACTCGGCGCCGTGCTTCAACCATGAGGGCCATCCGTGGGCACTTGGTGACACCATCGGCACGGTCCACCAACGCATCTGGGGAACACAAGTGAGACCCCCCCCCTTCCCCCTCAGCCCCGACCCACCCCCATCCCACCCCCCTCCTTTTCCGCGCAGCTTCCTCGTCTCCAGCGCATCAAGCAGAATGTCGATCCGGATGGCCGCTTCAACAACTTCCCCGGAGTCGGCTTCACTGAATCGGGAACCAACGTCTTTCCTAACAACGAAGCATTTTCAGGCGAGACTTGCCCTACAATCGAAGGCCGCAGGGTGGAGGAGGCCACCTCGCTCGAGCAAATGAGGGCGCGATGGGGGCAGGCGTTCGATCGCCTGAAGGAGAGGCTCGAGGAAATGAAGGCGTCGCTCCTGAGCTCAAATAAAAAGGCAGCGGTGACCAAAATCATTGAATGCATGCGCACCGTCGACGGACGCGGATTCCCCGCCATCCGCATCTGCAATTCTAGCCGGGTCGATGTCTGCGCTGATTTACTGCTTTGAGACTTGCGGGAAATATGATGCGGACTGGGAAGATGTGTATTAAAAGACGATAGCGAACGACCCTGGGGCCGAAGGCAATAGAGAACGGCAATCGGTGCAAGTCCGGCATACGCGCAGGGAAAACGAGTGCGCGGCCCCGGGCTACTGGAAAAGGTAAGACGATACGAGAGCCCTTCACAGGCCTAAGTCCACGGCGCCAGAACTCAGTGGCAAAAACACCCACTGGCGACCCACCGTGGCAGCGAGGATTCCCGGACTACTGGACAAGGTAAGCGGTAATGCAGCGCAATACGAGCTGGCGGCGCGACGGAAAACGAATGGACTCTCTCTAGCCCGCGACTCTAGCCCTTCAGCGGCGGCGGTGTTTCTTGGGACCGTATCTTGGCTAGCTGTGTGTGCGCCTAACGTTAAAAAGGCACAAGCCTCGCCGCTACCGTGATTGTATAAAAAGGAAAGGGAATATGTGATCGTAGAGTTTTAAATCCAATTCAAACAGTGTGGGACTACCGCACACGGACACGCCATTCGCCGCTGTACGTTATAGGATTTAACGGCCGGTTGGGCCCAAACGGCGACGAGCAGAGGCAACTGCTCCCGCAAAAGAAAATTGAGGCGAGCTGGCGGGGCAGCGCGTCGTCGCCGTAACACCGACATGGCTGGCACGTAACACAACATCGCCATCACCGCTGACGTGCGCTATCTTTGCCTGGGGCACAAGGGCGAAGCCGGCTGCCTAGGCCACGGAGAGGACCTGTCGAACCAGCTCAGCCTGCTGCCCCGCAAGAAGGTCGAGGCGTGGGCGCCGGGCCGCAGTGAGGCATCTTGCCTTAACTGCTCGGCCTCCTGGGGCTCCGCCTCGCGCCTGGGCGGTCCTCGTGGTCGTGCCCTGCCCGTCCCTAGGCCCGTCCCCGGAGCTGGGCGGTCCCCCCCCCGGCACCAACTTGATTCGTAGATCGGCGGCGTGGCGGCGTATAGCAGCACTGACGCGACGACGAGGGCCGCGCCGAGGAGGAGCGCGTTTGGCGGCGGGCCGAGGAGGCAGCGGCGCGAGCAGGCCTGTGAGGAGGATGGCGCCGGCGGTGGCGAATCCCTTCCAGATGTTGTCGGCGTACTTGATGACGACGGCGACCAGGAGGCCCCCGAACTAATCACCACATCAGCGTACCACGCTGCCACTAATGACCACGATTAGGCCAGGAGGCCTCCGAACCCGTTGACTGCGATGAGCGCCCAGGTGGACCTGTTAGTGGGCGATGGGCCAGGGGGGCGAGTGGGCGGCGGGCAGGGGGCTGCCTCGCGGCTGCCGGTCTCTCGAGCCCTGCGAGAGATCTCGGAGATCTCGGGCAATCAAGGGCCTCTCGCCTCTCGAACCCGCGTAGCGGGTCGGAGAGAGGGGTCGAGGGCGACGACTGCAGCAGCGCGAGCAGGCCGTTCATCGGCACGGTCCACGTGGAGAGCTCGATGTTCCGCCGGGGGGGAGGGGGGTGGGGGGGGGGGGGGAAGGGGGGGGGGAGGTGTGGGTCGCCCCGTGTCCTCGGTCGCGCCCCGGGGCAGGTTGGACAAGAAAAGGGTGGGGCAGGCCGGCGTGCCTGAGGCAGGCAAAAAAGGCAGGGGCCGGGGGGGGGGGGG